GCGGCTGGGCCTATTAACCGTGGGCTTAATAACCGGCGACTACTGTATTTACAATGTGGGTGATCCACACTTACAAAACTTCCAGCGCATAAAAACCAAAACCAACTCACGCCAACATTATAACTGTAAAATCCAGCCAATTCCAGGCGTCACGTAGATATGTGAAGTCATCGATGATGAGGCCACAGGCGATTACCTTGACGCAGGCCTCGCAGGTGTAGAAGACTGTAAATATAAGCCTATAAATGTAGAGTACATCAGTGAGCTGAGCGCAGAGCACTAGTAACAAGGCCAAAGGAGAGAAAGGAAAGATTTCTTGAAAAAATTACAAAACTTTATTTTTTTTAACTTAAGCTACTCGTTGATGAACACACCAGGTTTGAACACTGGCTTGCATGTACAACCATATTAAACGGAGACGATGGATGTATTTTGACACAGTTTACGGCGCTACGTAACTGTTGAATCTAATTCTGATGTGGCATAACCATTCAACGGTTAGTGTGGAAATGAATATGCATAAAAGGGCATGTAAGGCAGTAGAAAGATGTGCGACTTACTCAACAAGTTTGGAGGAGTCATTCAGTGCCATAAAAATACAATTTACGAGGATTGCTGTGAGTACAACCATGCTGAACATTGTGGAAGTTCCAGATTTTCCGACGATTACAAGAGTTAAGGAGGAAAGGTGGTATAAGTGGATAAGGGAATTATCGAAGATCAAAAAGAGGAAACTCACAGTTTAACCAACTCACATAGTTGAAACGACCTTGACTTGTAGCGGGTGCTGGCAAAGACGAATACCAACGCAGGCCCCACAAACATAAGTTTCCATATCAGCTCTTTCTTTCTGATTATTCATTGGCTATTTGAGGAATATATGCGGTGTTCTACTTTCTTGAATAGAAGTGCAACTTGCTATCCTCTTAAAGTTTGTACGTCAAAATAACGAAGCAGTAATTTTCGATATCAGGATTTAAGAACCTACTAAAATCTGGCAACACATCCCTGAATGTAATTAAAAGAACGTAGGACAGACTGAAGGAAGCGCTTGAAAAGGATATGGATGAACCATGGCGTAAATGGCCGCCAGTCGTATCGGGTTGAAGGGACCGAAGATGAAGAGTGAGGGAGTAAGACTCAGACGAAATATCGTTTTGTCTCCGCTTATTACGACAAAACTCTAAAATTCAAAACAAGCCTCGTAAGTCATCTTCTACACTTAAGGTTAAATTACAATAAACTGGAACGGAACTACATCCCTAAACATGGGTATTAGATCGGTGCGTCGGAAAATTTGGGAGGCTCGTAGTAAACATAAAAGTAGAAAAAAGAATATAATTAAGGTCGTTTCTTTTCTTCGACAATCATTTTAAGTTTTTTAAAGGGCAGATTGTAACAAATGGATTCCTCAAAAGGCAAATCACTAGCATATGGTTCTATTTCCGGTGTTTTTGCCTTAGTTCGTGTAGTTTGCATTTTTAGACCTTTTAAATCATGACTTATAACGGTTTCTTTTGGCCATAGTCTCCTGATCTGCTCTTCACATGATTCTACCCGTTTATGCTCAGTTGACTATACCACAAGCCACGAATACTTGACCCATGATCGTCAAATTGTAGCTCAAGAATAACAATATTTAAATATCCACACCCTGTTGACTACGAAAGGCCTAGCAAAATAGGTCTGTGACTCCGAGCGGGCACTACGTTTTTTTCTACACCGAAAATTCGATGACAACCTCCACTGTGTGCCCCACCGAGTGGATGCAGCGCCGATCGTTTGCGCGTGAATTACTTTATGGTGAGGCAGACTTTCACCGTATCTAACGCACCCTTTCCCCTTTCAGTCCGTGGTTTCGATGGGCAGACAGTAACAAGACGACGGGAAGAGGGCGCGGGTGCAGAGAATATCAAAGTCGGACAGTTCTTCCTGACATACCACACACAACCTGTTGCCCATTGCATTTGTAAACTCCCAATAACAGCGGTTCGGAACTCACATAAGTGAGGAAACCATATAGGCCACATTGATAAATCTGATTCACAGTCGTTCAGTTACTCAAAATGCTCCTACCATAACCGAATCATCTTGAAGACTGTCAAACTTCTAAACCACGACTTTTAGCGTGCTGTGATAGGTTCGAGCACAGAAGAAGAAAATCGCGGGAGCAAAATGTTCCTTAGCCCGAAGTTTGGAATTCTCCCTCGAAACCCATAATCAATGACAATTGCAGGCCCCTAGCTGATACTTAAGCATGTCAGGTTTCTTGATAATGAAGAATGCACTGATTTGCTTCAGGAATAAATGCCAAAGTGTCAGTTTCATTCTCTCTCTCTTTTCCCTCTCAAATGCATCAGTCAATTTTCATTGCTTGCAAGCACGCTGGTATGCGCATTAGCAATTTACGACTGGCACAAGGTGAGGGCATGTTTAGGTGTACCATCAAAAATTTATTGGCAGTAATTATATACTCGAGCGAACTCTGCACAGCTTGAGTTGGCGCATATGCGTCGCAACTCGTTTCATTTCTAAGTATAGTAGACAGTACACCAAAATACAAACTAGGAGGCGTTTATTTTCGGTCTAGACGCACATAAACCATGAGAAAATTGAAACTTAACGTTCTAATGACCTTTAATCTACCTCGGACGGACAGTTTCAGAGTCTCCTGGCATTGAGTCTGAAACTGTAAATGTGGTCTTTAACGGTTAACTTAACTCCACTGTTTGCTGATTTTATTTGTCCAGACGCACCTGATAAAGGATTTCACATGTAAATTCAATATTTCAGGGAGATATATGTTTATTTATGCCTCTCTTCTGATTGCGTTCCTACTTCTTACTGCGAGGTTTCTTGTCGAATCTGGCATTTTATGCGCAGCTTCCTCTGTTCGGTCGGAATGGCTTATAAGCCTCTCTCTCTGCAAGCCAGGGAAATATGGGTGCCCCTCCACCCATGTAATAGAGGTGACTTTAATTGCCAAGATGGTTAAATAGTGCCTGGCGTTAACCGCAACTCCAACCTTCACCGTTATTCTGCCGCCTAACCCTAACCCTCACCCCAATTCGCCTGGAGTTCAACAAAAAGACCATGGGAGGTGATATAAGTGTTCCCTACGCCGGCTTACATTAGAGGCGTAAGTGGTTCACAGAAGGTAGCGTTTATAACCGTTTAGAAAACATGAATATTTATCGGCACCTATGTTCCAACGGAGATGAGGCTTTCGTTGAAATGAACGAGATGTCTTTAGATTGGATTCAGTGGGGTAGATATTTATGTGTAAGTTACAAGCCATAGAACCGGAGTCCCTTTTAGCTGTTCTTGTTTTCCTTTCGAATTTTTACTGCTATGAAAACTAAGGATAGGATTAGGCCGGTGTTTTTGTTAATCGTTTGTCTGAGCTGATCAATAAGTACGTAAGTCTGCTAAGCACATATGCACTGACACTTGCTAATTCCTTCAGGTTGGGTTGTTGACTGGTTTGTTGTTGTTGCTGTTGCTAGAGCACAAATAATTGTGACAAACGCCGCCTGTCAACGTCAGCATCTTCGGCCCAAGGAAGGAACAGAGTCATCCTACATAAAAAAGGACACCTCGAGAGGGATCCAGTTAGTTTACAAAACTAAGCTGTTGGCAAATTTAGATGTGTCAAAAGAGTCGAGAGAACGAGCTGTCAGAGGCCTCAAGCAGTCAACAAACTCCTGTCAGGGAACTCAGCCTGACCTGCAGCATCCGCCTGAGTTTTGGGATGAAAATACTCTATGAGATCAGTACCTCTACCTGTCTAAAATATAATGTGCATGTTGAAGACTTTTTTTAACTTTTTTGACAGGTTACACTTTAGTTGTAACATGAGCGCGGAAACTGGCACTACGGTGCAAATACGTAACAACATGCGTGCTCCGAACTCAGAGGTTGCGTGTAGCCGCCACAGCGATCACTTCGGGGTATACGAACTAGTCGGACGAAAGCTAGACACTCGGGTCATGCCCCACAGGCATGTGAGAAAAGCATGGTTTAGAACAGGGGTCGGCAACCTTTTTGACTCAGAGAGCCAAGAAAGCAAATATTTGAAAATATATTTCAGTGAGAGCCATATAATATATTTTAAGATTGCGTTCAATTAAATGTGAGTATAATAAGCCTCTGAATTTATTAATGGAGGAACCGTAATGAAAAAATCTGAAGTTTCTAATTCCAATTTTATCTGAGAGAGAGACAGAGGCAATCATCAAAAGAGCCACACCTGGCTCGCGAGCCCTGGGTTGCCGACCCCGGGTTTAGAATAAGAGGTCGCTACAACTTAATTCAAACATACAGTAGCAAAATATCCACTGGAGCTTGACTCCTTGTTTGGCCTGCACCGGTGTGTTGAGACAGAACCACCCTGAACGGCAAAGGCGTAGGGAAATTTTACATCTATCTGACCTTGTGTACTTAAGATGAGCAGTAGGGGAGGGGGGAGGTCGCTGCTTACTTGATGGACATCTGGCATCTAATAAATTCGCATTTGTATCGGCCTGCCTGCTCGGCCGATGTGACGAGCATGGACAAAAGTTCACGTAATTGAACCAACGCCCACCATTCAATTTGCGCACTTAAAGGCTTGATAAAGTTTCTGCATGACTGTTCGGCTAGGCTTGTACGCAGCATGTCTTTGTCTTGCTGACGGAGAAAAGGGTGAAGATATGAAGCCGGAGGAGTAAGAGGTGAAAAAAACTGATTTTTCAAAATGGCGCAGTTTGCTGCGCTGTAAATTAAGGGGGGGGGGTGGGGGAGCCGGGCTCAGACTACAAACCAGGCGATGTTGCTAAGGCCTAAAAAACGAGGGTTTCATTTCAACTTTTTATTAAGGAACCTAAAATAGGGTTGTTAAATCTCAGACTTGCACATGAGACTCTGGTGTATTTGGATGAATAAGTGTTTCAAAATGCGTGTGACGCCATGCATCTGCTCCTTGGCGCAGCAAATGGGAAAAGGCCGTTTTGATTAAGTTTCAACTTTTTGCACAAGGTTAATGCAGAGGATGTCCTACATAGTAATAAAAAAATTATTCAGCTTAATGTCTAGAACTTCCTTACGGCGATAAGTATTACGGACTTGATTCGATCGGATATCAGCTAACTGTAAGGTGGTTGATGAGTTGAAAATGACAGTTTTGGTTAACTTAAGCGACTTTTTACTGGTTAACAGCCGCCAGCACGTCAGCCGTAGTAAGTGCAGTAAGTATTGTCCTTTCAAAATGTCCTTACTGTTAAGAGACATTATTCCGCTATTTCGAAATTAGTTTTGTTCAATTTTTGTGCATGGGTTCCCACTTTATACTTCAATACTTTGATGAACACTTACCGATCAAAGGTTCCTTACTTACAGGCTTTGTCTCTTGCTGGCAGATTTAGTGCTGCGCTAGACTTCCTTCTAACCAGTTGTGTCGTCCTAGTTGCAATCAATTTTTTTGCATTGGCTGTTTACGCAACCGCTTAGTACCGCCTAAATAGTAGTGTCAGCCCAAGTAAAGGGTTACTGTACGCATTACTTTCAATAACATGAAATCGAATGCAACGCTATACTTGAAATATCGGCATCACACGCGGGTGACAGCTATCTTCCCCCCTCTGAGTGCATAATTAAATGTAGAAGGCAGGAAGACGCTCTCTGGGACCAGTATTGCATTTGCCCGACGTTTCGGACTCTCACTCGAAGCCACTGTCGAGGAATGAAAACATACTGCTCGCTGCGTGATTAAGTCAT